CAGGCAGAAGGACCGAAGTACACTGCTGAGGGGAGCAGCAGGCGTGGCAGGAGAGGTCTGTGGACCATGTGGGACCCTCCTGGCTGCCAGTGATCGAGCTGGCGCTGCAGAGGCTGTGGGCAGCTTCGCAGCCCAGCGCTCAACCATTGCTCCACCGGGGAGGCCCGAAACTTAGGGTTTTTAATCTCATCTGACCCTCCAAATGGAAATATACCCACTCTTTTCAGTTCTCTAGCTCATTCCAGGTACACATAAAAGCTTTTTTAAAAAAATCAGAGCAGTTAATTTGACTATTATTTGTTGAGTTCCAGAATATAGCCTACTTTGAAGGTTTAAGATAAGAACATAACTTTTCATTTTATTTTCAGTATTTAACCTGTTCTGCTTTTTATGTGTATTTTGTCAGCCCATAACTTCATCATGGAAATAGCTATATTCCTGGTACCTGCACTCCACTTCTGCCACCTTTTAAAGAGTTGTGGATATGCACATTAATTTATTAAGTAGAGATTAAAGAGGTATAGATTGGATTCTAAGACCCATCAACAGTGTTTATACTTATGTAAATGAATGCAATTTTATTCTACTATGTTACAAATTTTTTAAACTACTAGTTGATTTTTAACTGTGTGTTACCTCTTTATGCTACAGATGTCTTTATCTTTGATTGGCTAGCTATCAAGTTGTAGTAGTAGAACACCATAGTTTTTGAACGCTATTGTCCACTTTTAATTTCTTCTTCCATTTTGGTGGGGGCTTATATCCATACTTTGTTCAACATTTTTAAAGAGCCTAAGAAGAAGCTGTTGGAGTCTTTGCTTTGGGACCCCAGATTTTGCTAGAGTATTTGTGACCTTTGTATGTATTAGGTATTTCTTTTTCTTTTTTGGAAGGAAAAACTTTTGTTCTATTATTCCTGGATTACTTGTTTTAGGAACATACTCTAATACTGCTTTGATAAAGTTATTTGCTAATCTTTATATATCAAAGTTGTTGACTTCATTTTCATTTCAGTTCGGAAAATCTTCCAAAAGAGTTTATCTCTTTTCTAAAAACAGAATTATATTAATATATAACTATCCATTGAAAAGAAATTGAGAGTACTATTACTTATTTTCATACAGGTTTAAAAAACGAATGCTAATAGAACAACTGGAGAACTTCTTGGATGAAATTCATCGAAGAGCCAATCAGATCAACCATATTAATAGCAATTAAAAGAGAACAGAATGTGGCCACTTATTTCACTATCTTCTCCAAATACAAAGTAAATACAAGACTGTTGTGATCTTGCATTCATTTTTTGACATGCATTGTTGGCTATTTGAAATACTGAGATCAAGTCTACAGATTCCCATCATTTTACAGTGACCTTTACTTCATTTTGGTTTATTTTTGTAATGTGAAAAATATCACTCTAAAAAACATTTTTATTTAACAAACTAAAAATATTCCTCCAAATCTCTTGCTTGTCATTGACTCTTGCGTGTCAATTTCCCTCAGGTTCTATTTTCTTAAACCAACCTTTAAAATTGTCACCTCTGTTAAGGTTGAACTTTGCCAAAAAAAAAAACCAATAAAAAGAAGTTACTTTGTAATTTTTGGGGAAAAAAGCACATACATTAAAACTAGGTAATGTTTTGTATATACAGTTATTTTGGATATATTATTGTAAGTTGTACAAATGTATTTTGAAGAATATTTAAGAAAAGCACTTTTGTTATTCCATCAATAAATGCTCTATTTTACTCTTGTGTGGTTTAGGAAATAATCACATTTAAAATAATCATTTAAAACCACCTTAAGATAATGGAATTTTAAAGGCCTTGCTTTTTAAAGCATTGGAAAAATACACCACTTGAAATTCATATTTGTTAAACTTATCTGTAATTACATGTTACATAATCTGCATTGTCTTTTCGCTATATGTTCTTAGCTTTTGTTGGCCACACCATACTCTCACATCTGCCTAGGTAATGGAAAACGACAGTATCTGTGGCAGAGAGACAACCAACTCTTAAAACTGTTTAAAAAGCAGACACTTTTGAACGTTACTGGTTTCCTTACTTTACTTCAGTTCCTTTTCCCTTCTCGTTAGGACTGTGGATGGCACAAAGTTGAAGCTCTTACTTAGGGAGTGGTAAGTTTGGGTACACCACATACTCTGAAATGTCTCTCCTTGAGCGGCTTGATGCCATGCTTACAAAAGGCCCACAACATATTGGGGGTTCAAAGGGGATCTCTTTATTCTGCTCTGCTAGTCTCATACTTACAAACTCTTCATTTTATTTAGAAACTAAATGGAAAGAAAATGTATTTAAGATGACTTTGTTCATTTTGCTTTCCTGCTAAGTTACCCAGGAAAAGGAAAAACTGGCATCATTTATTTCCCGCCCTTAGCCCAAAATGACCTCACATGTCCTAACTGAGGACCTACTTTACCATTCATAGATCACTGCTGTGCCTTGTATTATTGAGGAGTGACCAGAAGAGAAGCGTAGATTATTTAGATGAAAAGAGGCAAATTGATTTATAAAATCATAATAAAATTGAAGTATGTTTAAGTTCATAATATTTGAAAAATCACATACCCTTTTTACAAGTTAGCATAACATTTTTTTAAATTTCAAGGGTATAACGAATGGTAACTTTTTGTGAAGAAAAGCATACATGGAGGTTGAAAGCATGCTCAAGATCTGTTAATGTAGTCTAGGGGATTTGATACTCTTCCAATGCTGAACAGACAAACCCTGTCAAGAAAAAGAATCATCTCATGTGATGTTATATAGTATTTTCATATGCAATTCTTTAAACCTTTTTTACCTCTACAAAATATCTTTAAGTAAAGCAGGATGTCATTTAATAGATGGAATTGTTAAGATAATTATTTACAGTTACATTGCTAAATTCAGTAAGAGCTACAAAAAATCCAGAATATATTGTCGGGTCTTAAATGATACATATTTAGATTTTGAGATGAATAGTCAAGAAAGAGATTCAGTCTAATCCAATATTTAACAGTTTTCCCTATCAGAATGTTCTTATTTCCATTTCACAGTTGCTCATGAGGCAATGCTGTTTTATACCCTTAACCTTTAATACAATTTTTTGCAGTGAACCCTGGGGGACTTGGGAAGAAGTAATTCATTCAGTTTCCTCTCTGTCCCTAATTTCTCTGCTTCCATACAATACACTATCATCCCAAAACCTACTCACCAAGTTTGAAACCCATTGAAACTCAAGTGTAACACCCTGTGTCTTGCAGGTTTTTTACATTTAGAAAAAATGGGCATATTAGTGAGATACTGTAGCATTTTTATAAACAAAGGAGAAGGGGAGAGTCCTTTGAGGGGGAGATCACCATGTCTTTTAGGCACTTTAGATCAATGGATGACTTTACGCTGGACAAATGTCCAACAATTTAATCTTGAGGTAAGATTTTTTTCCTTAGTTTTCCTGTATGTCCCTTTTGTTAATTGATTAGGTCATTATTTTACCCTTATCAGTAAGATGTGTCATTTTGGTGTACTGAAGGTTGAGACTGGTTTCTACCTCTTCAATACCCCTGTCACCAGAAGAGTAACCACTTTGCCTTGTGCAATATGGGCAAGCACCTCCTGGAAAATGAGATAAATAAATTGATAAGGACTATTTACATACACTGGTTTTGGTTAGCCTTACATGTTCTGTATACTAAGGCAGATCAGAAAACTCTTACTGAAATAGTGGTGTGTCCTTAACTAATTCAAAGATTTTATATCATATTTATGCAATTAAATTCCAGAAAAAATTATTCTCTTTCAACTGTCATCAGTATTGATGACAGCTTTTGGCATTGACCTTTCTGTTTAGTTCTGTCTCTGTTTCTTGAAGGAGAAGATTCCATCTTTCATTTTTGACATACATCCTTCCTAAGAGAGGGCTCTCTGTTGAAAGTTCTGTTCTAAAAGTGACATATTTAATAAATACGGGGTTGAGATAATGGTGAAATACTAGGAGGGTGTACTCTGTTGAAGGATTTTTCTCCCAAAATAATCTCAAACTAGATTATTTCCTAGTGAATGGTTATCGTCATCCTTTTTGTCAAGTGTTCCTTTGATTTCTAGCACGTTACAGCAGTATGCAAATGATTCTCAGATAAAATGATGTTGACAGTATTTCTTTAACAATTTGTGTAAAGCCTATGAGTAATTATCATTATTCTAACTTTTGACTTTTTTCTCTCCATAAATAAAAATAATGCCTGACATTTAGTTAAAGTAGATCCACTTTTGCTTGATTTTGTTAGTCTTGTTTCATCCTATCTCTTTTCAACACATTGTTTAGACTTGCCAACAACTCTTTACTGAGAATCTCTTTTTTAGCCTGATAAATAGTTTTCCAGGGGCATGGGTGAGGGGAGATTAGAAATAATTTCAATACTTAGTTCAATGTTGAATAGTTAGTTAAATGTTGACCTTTAAAGGACTTAATGTTTGTCCTTTTATGCTAAGGCTGTGCCTGTACCGTTCTATCTTTGGATTAAGATGAGGTTCTGTGACTTCAGAGTACTAGGGCAAACATTTGGTATTTGTGTAACTTCAAGCTTGAAAAAGAACAGAAATTTAGGCATTCACTAGAACACCAGTGAGGGAACTACTTGGATACTCCAGTGGCCTAAAGAAACTTTTCTTACCCTAAAATGACAAGAAAGCTAGGCAACATCTGAAAAACAAGCCAAGGCTTAATCTGATGATACTTCCATCTCCCCAGAAATAGAAAACAATTAAAAACAAAACTGCTTCAACTATAAATGAGCTGAGAGGAAGGGAAGGCAACAAGACATGGAGAATATTAGTAGCCTTTGTTGTTCATGAAATATCCCTCTTAGGATATACAGCACAGGAACTGAGATACTCCTGAGCCATCATAGAAACTAGCTAGCAGGAATGCTTGGTTTAGACTGCCATGAACAAATGAGCATTTGTTGTAAGAGAGATGCTCATAAATATTTAATTTATTTGTATCCTATTAAAAAAAAATACCTGTGTTGGTTTCTCCCTAAAAATAGATGAATGGCCCATCTGCTTTAAAAATAGGAATCGGACAGTTTCAGTAACAATAGAGGTACAGGAAAGATCAGGAGAATCTCAGTGAATTTCTATTCATTTGGGGAAAGTCGTAAAATTGAAGTGTCAAGTCAGTTATACCCTTGATTTTTGAAGAAATAAAAGTATCCCAATGCTATTTCATTGTTTAATGTTAAGACAGGATTCAATTAGGGAGATTTTTAAAAGATACCACTTAACCAACCCTGCATCTTATTTTCAAAATACTCCATGAAATAAATTTCTTGCTGAACATAATTTTCAAAACTATTCTTCCTTGTTTATGGGAATAATAGTACAAGTCTTTTTCAAAATATGTGTGTACCTCTCCCTACATTTTTTGGAAACTTTTCTCTCCATTAACATTTCTTTTTAAAAATGCTATACCACATCTGGACTTGGAGTTTTTAGGAAGCAGGTTTAGGAATGACTGTTAAACTGGATAAATCTAACAAAAGTAGATACAGGAAAACTTGACTGAGAATTGCGAACATACCTGTGGCTGCAGGTGTTTTGGTGCCTTCCTCAGAAACCTCAATCTCTGCTTTCTGGATTGCTTCAGAAACATAAAAGCCATCTTGGCCTAACCCCAGGAAATAATAAAAATGTGACTTATTTGCACTTTTTGATGCATCTTGAGAATCTTGAGTATACCTTAAAGGGTATGCTTAGTTGTAATCTCTTGTGCTGCTTAATGTGTAGCTTGGGACAGAATTGTTTGGAAGATAATTAAGTTAAATGTTTTATACAAACTTTAAAACCTCAAATTTGGTAAATTAATCATCTCCAAATTGATTCAGAAATGTGAAATTTTTCAGTAATTTTCAAAAATAACTATATTTCTTTGGACGATATTTTAAAAATATCAGTGGTCATAAGAATTGCTAGAGAATGTGTTACAGTGTGAATTCTGGAGCCCAGTAAGCTGCATTTTCAGCAAGATGTGATTTCTCTTGAATGGCTTCTTGGGCTATATTTTAAGAGCCATTGTTAAAAGTCACAGGTCTGTACTGTGGACTTTAAAAGATATAATTCAGAGTATTAATAATGTCTAATACTGCATGATTGCTTTCTGTATACTTAGGCATACTAGTTATGCAATTAACTTGCCTCATGGGCTAAAATCTGCAAACAAAATGAGGCCACACATTCAATAAGGAATTCTGATAGTGTAGTGTCCATTTCCACCCCACCACTGCACACACAAACACTATCATCTTTGAAGAAGTGTATTCTACCTAACTCTAGCATGCCACTGGAAAGGGATCTATAGCATGAATATTAAAATAATAATTTTGAGGTACATGTATATTGAGAGAAGCTGCTTTGTATCATCTTCGGCTAAATTGTTTTTCGTTTTTCATGCATATAAAGGAGATGGCAAATGGATGTTGTGAGAGGATAAAACCAATCCATAATATAGAATATGGAACATTTTGTCCATCTTGTAAATAAGTTATACAGAAAATTATGAATTGAATGTTCATTTAATGTATTTTCTGGTATTAGTACTGAGGAACCCAGACAAGGGCCAAAGGAAGGGGAAAGTCAATAGAAATAGTCATCTAGTGTCACTTGTTATAAGCCAAGAAGAATCTAGCTTTATTTAACAGTTGATCTTATTCTGTAGGATTTTTTTAAGAAAGAAACAAATTTCTCTAATAATTAAGCACCATTTCAACAAGCTGAAACGCAGTACCAAAATTAGAATTTTGTAGATTAAGAATAGATCTATGATAGTCCTGAGAAGGTTTTACTAGTTTGTCACTTCATATCTGTGACAATACCTAATATGGTATCTGGACTTTTTAAATAAATGTTGATGGGATGTGAACAGACACACTACAAAACCTTTGATAGCTAAATATATTAAATGTGTCTGTACTGAGTCCAGGCACCTTGGCACAGTGTGAGAAATAAGACCAGTTGGTATGAATGAGTGTTTATTTCACTTTCTTGAGATTGCAACTGAAGAGTTTCACTTAGTTTTTCTCCTCAGACTACAGGAGTGTTCCAATAATTGACATTTATGTGTTTGTACAGCTAAAAGCCAGCAACAACCTGTTATGTCTTAGAATCTGCATCTCTTAAATTTTATCTCTGGTAAGAGTTGACATTTCAGAAGACCAACAGTTGTGATCAAAATAAGAATTATAAGTCATCTGTGAGTTTGTGTCTTCTTGCTTGGTCTTGTAATACAGTGCCTATCTGTTTAATTTTGTTAAGTAGATAATGAAATTTTTTACAACTAATGAAATCCACTAGAAGAGGCCAATCATGGATTTTCCTGACTGTAGCTTTTGGTCTTAGGTTCATCCTTTATGGCAGTGTTATCAACTGCCATTGAGGGTTGCACAAACTGTTTTCCCAAAATCTGTTGCCAAGATTGTTTATAGGTGCTATCCTGTAAAAAGGGTTCCATGGTTAATTAAAATGGGAAGTGCAGGTTGAATAGTTTTGTGTTTTTGTTTTTAGTAGGGAACTGAGTTGCTAATTTGCTTAAGTTTGCAGTAAATCTCTACAGAAGGACTCATACGTAGAGTTTAACTATGGGCCACTTATACCATCCTGTCTCCAACCTTAACAGATTAACATTCTGGGGAACATAAGGAAATGTTGTCTGTAGACCCATAGGGTAATAACATAGGATGTGTCTTTGACAAATTTCATCTAAATGATTGCTTACCCTTTGTTGGTGAAGACTATCCATGCTTTGTGTGTGGTTGGTCATCCTCTCAAAATGTTTAAGACATTGTGTAAGCATATAATTTGCTCTTTTAAAAGCAAGTGATGAGAAAGATAAACTAGAAGCAAATTCTGGCAATAACTTTTTAAAAGATACTAACTTTGCGAATAGTAATTATAATTGCAAAGACAAAAGATGCAGCTTTATGATAAACTGATGCACATATATAGGGACATTGCACATTTGCACATTTTGCAAATTGTGTGCTTATACAGAGAGAGAGAGAGAGAGCTAAAAAGACTGAAACTAAGCTATGGCTAGTTGCTTTCTTCAGTTGATTTATGTATAGCTCAGTTGATTTATGTATGTATTGGGGAATTATTACTACAATAAGATTAATCATCTATTGCCTTACATAGTTGTAATTTCTTTGTGTATTGAGAAATTATAAGATCTACTCAGTAACTTATTAATATGCAACACAACATTAAGTAAAATCACAATGCTCAGAACTTTTCTTCTAATGGAAGTTTATACCTTCACTTCTTCCCTAGCAACTAATGATCTACTTTTTTCCTATGAGTTTGTTTTATTTAGATTCCACATATAAGTGAGATAACAGAATCTTTCTCTGACTTATTTCCCTTAGCATAATGATCTCAAGGTATTTTCATGTTGAAATGGCAGAATGTCCCTTTTTTATGACAGTGCTATATATATAGAGAGAGATGTATACAGTTAATATGTCACTTAATGATGGTGATATATTCTGAGAAATGTCTCATTAAGCAACTTTTGTCATGTGTGAGGAGGATGCTTACATAATCCTAAGTGGTATAGCCTACTACATACCCAGGTTATATATAGGGACCACTATCATATGCAGTCTGTTGTTGACCAAAACATCATTATGTGGAGTATAACTGTACACTCTTGATAATCATACAATGACAAATTTGCCTATTAATTCATTTCTCATATCTCCATTATTAAGGGACAAATGACAGTATGTATTTACCAGTACCAGTGATTTTTGTACATTCATAGGTTTTTACAGTGCTGATTCACATCTCTTTATTTCACCTTGAAGAATATCCTTTAGCATAATTTGTAAGGCAGGTCTAGTGGTGGTGAACTCCTCAGTATTTTATTAGTTTATGAAAATTTTGTTAGTTTGGTAAGGCCCTGCTTGCCTTTATTTCTGTAGGATAGCTTTGGCAGGTATAGTATTCTTAGTTGGCAGGGTTTTTTCTTTTGACATTTTGAATATATCATTCCACTATTGGCCTTAAAATCTCTGTTGAGAAATCCACTGATAGTCTTATAGTCATTCCCTTGTATGGATGAGTCATTTCTTCCTTCTTTCAAAATTCTGTCTTTGAGGTTTTATAATTATAATGTCTCTTAGTGTAGTTCTTTTGAGGCTTAAATTCCTTGGGCTTTTTGAATCTGGGATACCCATTTTTTCTCCAAGTTTTAGACGTTTTCAGCCATTATTGCTTTACTAGGCTTTCCATCCCTTTCTCGTCTTCTGGGATTCCGTCATATGTGTATTTTTTCTTTTGATGGAATTCACAACTCCTGTAAACTTTAATTTTTTCATTCCTTTTTTCTTTCTCTGGCAAAATATTTTCAAAAACATAGCGTCTATTTCATTGATTCTTTTCTCTGCTTGGTTGAGCCTGTTTGTTGAAGCTCTCTATTGAATCCTTTAATGCAGTATTGTATTCTGCAGTTTTAAAGTGTTTGGGTATTTTTTAAAAATGGTTTCTATTTCTTGGTTGAACTTATTTTGTTCACACATTGTTTTCCTAATTTTGTCTGCGTGTCTTTGTAGTCTACTGAGCTTCTTTAAGAGTATTGTTTGTAAGTCTTTGTCAGATAGCTCATGCATCTCTGTTTCTTTATGATTAGTTACTGGACTTTTCTAAGTTTCTTTTTTGTGGTGTCCTGTTTACCTAACTCTTCATGATCCTTGATTCCTTGCCTTTATAGCTGTGCATTTCAGTAAATGATCTCCTCTTCCAAACTTTACAGATTTGCTTTAGCAGAGAAAAATCTTGACCAGTCAGCTGGCAGCATTTATGGACAGGTGTGGCTTGCTATTGGGGTCTCTACTTGGGCAAGGCTACTTACTGATTGTGCTCTGAGGATATGGGTCTGCTACTCATTGGATCATGCAGCTGAGTGGGCCTGTTGACTGGGCTCTGCATTGAGGTGTTGAGGCCACTGGGTGGGTTCCTTGTTTGGGCAGAACTTGACTGTGCTTCAGGTCAGGTAGAACTACTAACTGTGCTCTGCAACCACCTCCAGTTGGGCAAGGTAATAGGCCATGTTCCCTTGGCAGATTGATGCCACTGGTTAAATTCCATGAATGGAAGGCCTCTGGGCTGAATTCCATAATTGCTCCTGGTCAGGTGGATCTCAGACTGTGCTTCCCATATGCATGTTGCTGCTGGCTGGACTCCCTGTTCAGAAAGGGTAACATTGTTCCAGGAAGTTGGGCAGGGCTGTAGGTTGGTTTCACTGCTGGGTGGGGCTTTTGGCTGGTCTCTGTGGCTTGGTGGTACGTACCATAGGGCAACTGAACTCACTGGTGAGATAGGGCCACTGGCAGAGGCCACTGGCAGAGGCCACTGGCTTCTGCAGATCCTCAGTACTCTGGTTAGAATCTCTACTCACAGACTTCTATAAGCAGGAACATGATGTGCAAAAGCTAGATCACAGATCCTTTTCTCACCCCCTTTATTTTTAGCTGATAGCCATGGATTTCCCCAGGGATCTCTGTGAGGTGAGACCCAAGTAGGCCTTCAGGAAGAGTAGTGTAACAGTGAACTGGATGTCCATCTTTGCTCTTCCCCGTGCCCTCCCCTCCAACACTGGAGAAGCCATAGATCCAGGAAGACATTCTTAGTGGTGTGGTGGAGTAAGGGTGATATCGGCAGAGTGCAGTGCTCCTCTTACCTTTCGTTGCTATTCTTCTTAGTCTCTGTGGTTCAAATGCATGTTTCAGCCTCACCCCTGGTGTCTTATCTTATGGTTAGTTGCTAATTGACCTTGGGAGGAGGACTGAAGTCAGGAGCAATCTGTAATTTTGATATGACCTATGCAGCTCTGACCAGTCTGATCTGGTGTGTCATAAGTTAGCTTTAGTAGGTAACCAAACAACTATGGGTGGTTTGCCCATTTAAGTCATAGTGATAGGGAGCGTCTTGCTGCTGCTGCTACTCTACTACTTCTTCCTTGACCTCTCCCCTCCTCCTTTACTGTGATTTTGTACAATTTTTATAGCCTCCATTTCCTAAGTTACTTAGGTTGATACCTCTCCCCGCTCCACTTTTTAGTGAGAGTGTATCACACATTTGTAATAAAGTTAGGTTGTTTTGACACATACTGCATTTAATTGTGGGATTCTTACAACTTCTAAATCTTTTTTTTTAATTATCATGTACAAATCTTTACTCATTGTACTATAAATTGAGTTTTGAGAAATGAAGTATCATGTATTAACCACTGCAGTAGTATAAAGAATTGTTTTAATACCCCCCAAAAATCCTCCTATACTTCACTTTACCACTTCTCCTCTGTCCCCAAATACCTGGCAACCACTGATTTTTTTTTTCTTTCACAAAGTTGTAGTACCAATGATCTTGTATTTCTTAATAAACCAGGATTAGAAGCAACCTACTTATAAAAGTAAAGAATAAGATAGCTTTTTCAAAGCTTCAAGTTTGTGCATGAGGGATATTTTTTGGATTAGGAAACATGGGTTTTTATCAAAGCCTGTTTAATCTTTGTGAAGTAATTCTCTCAAGAAGTGTATCTCTAGCAGTTCTTTTTGTGTAAGTGAATTGGAATTACTCTTGGACATTCCTGACATAGTGTCTAGGATTTCCAGGAAGAAAAATTACACCCTGGGTTAAGTTGGGTTTTGAAATGACAGTTATCAAGTTCTTCAGACAGCAAAAGAAGGAGTGATATTTTAAATGGGGAAGGATAATGTGAATCAAATGATTCTGGGTTTTGGAACCAAATGGCAAGAAAAGACCAAATGTTCCCTAAGGTTGAGCTTCAATCAATAGATCAGAACTGCTTGGTAGCCCCTTGTTAGTTGTGGGAAGGATGGCCAGCTTTTTCTCATCACTTACTCTCTTGCAAATTCTTTGCTAAAGCTTTTTTATATGATAAAGAATTTCATTTCCAAAAGATGAGAGAGGTGGGTAATGACTACCCCATTTTAGGCTATTTCTTAGATTCGGTGTCCATGTCTCCAGAATCAAAGTGTTCTTGGGCATAGAAGGTGACTAGTCTCTTATGTTTAAATATAGGTATTGGAAAGCAACACTTTACTGGAAATCCTTAAGAACCAGACAGTAATTTTTTTTTAGCCATTGTGGATCATGTAGTGTTCATCATAACTTCTCTGTCATAGCAGAAGGTGATTTGTAAATGAATGAGAGTAGCTGAGTATTGATAAATTTTTACTTTGGTGACCCTTGCATCAGAGGAACAAATTCTTTGGGTGGGATTATAAGGCTGGTGTGTTTTATCAGAGTGAAATGTGAATGCAAGCTTCACACTTGGCATTTGCTAACTGCTTCATAATTAATAAGCTATATCCATGAGCCTATATTTCTGTTGATTTCAACAAAAATAAGTAGACTTGAATTGCATTATTTTAAAAAAGAGGTTAGGTGTCCAAAAAGGTACTGTTAAAACTACATTGCTTGTTAGATATTATCAGAGGAACTTATGGACCTCAGAAGTCTTTACCAATAAGCTGCTGCATTAAGCCCAGTGTTAGTTAAGCCCAGAGGACACAGGATTAATGGCATTCTAAGATGTACTTCTAGGACATAAAAGGATAGATATTTAAGATCTATAACAGCAAAATCATTAAGTCATAGGTTTAATTGAATGTAATGATATGGAAAAAAGGTCTTGAATGGCCTCAAAATTTTGGTCAGGATGATCAAAAACAAAAAAGAATAATATTGCCATCAACAATGAGGATACATGTCTGAGTCTCAGAGTTGCAAGAAGACACTGTAAATGGATTTCACAGGTTATTAAAGTTAGAGAGAGCACAAGTTCAGATATTTCATTCCAGTATTCCTCTTTCCTCTACAAGGTCAGATTATGCCTGTGTCATGAGGGAAATTTTCTGGTTGTGTCATTCAACCAAATCAACAATACTTACTGGATATCCTCTGTGCCAAGCATAGCTGGAAGTTCTATGCCCAAATTTGACTTGCTTCGTTAATCTTTTGTTTAGGCAATGAGCCTGTGGAATTTTTAAATATTCTAAATAGTTCCTTACACCTGTGTTTTATTTGATAACTGTCATTTAGTCTGTCTGTTATCATCTAACACCCAGGGCAAGACTTACCTTGTGGACCATAGTGCCATTTTTTCTGTGACTCCTTAAAAAAGAAGACTCTGAACAACACTTCAGGCAACCTTTATGTACTGTGAGATTTTAGCATTTAAATTATTAAGCTCATTAGGCAAGAAAAATGCCAAGGCCAATGAATATGCCTGCTCCAGTGTCATCTTTGTACAAATATGTATTACTATCTTAAGCAGAAATGAACCAGGGTCTTGGAATTGGCAATGGTCTCATGAAATGATTCTGGAACATATGGCTATGGTATTCCACTCTCTTAATATTAGATGCAAGTTTCCTGTCAGTTCATAGGCAAACACAGCTCCTACTGATACAGTAGCACGTCTACTATGGGCAAGAAATGTAATATGGATGCTGGGAAGGAGAATATTTTAGGGAAAGTTTATGGGCACATGGATGATTTGAGGGAAGGATGTTGGATGGATGATAAGTTTCAAGTTTATCTCCCTAGAACAGCACAGAGGGAGACAAGGAGGAAGGGAGAGGAGGTAGAAACAAAGGGTGTCTGTGCAACTGGAATGACAGCAGGAGGTCAGGATGAAGAGACTTGATGTTGCACCAATGTCTCTGGCATGCTTTTGTCATGAAGGCAAAGGGAGGGTGAATTGTATTGTGTCCCGTGGCCACTGACCTCATTTTGAGGGTGGTCTCTGAAAATGGTACTCAAAGGTCTCTCAGCAAACACCCCTTCACCATAAAGTCCACTCTAAATTTGATTGTTATCAGAAGCATCACATTCTTTTATAAAGTACTTTATTCTTTTAAACAATGTTAACTGTGGTTGTTTACCATTGAAGTCTCTTTAAAAACAATGAGAACTCCTTAATCAAAGGATGATAAAAGTGCCCCAAACACAATGTCAAAAGGTTTGGAAAAAGAACAGTTGTTACCTGACATTCCTTTCAAGTTAGCTTTGAGTGGATCAAAAAGGTCAGTGACTTCCCAAGAACTGAAAATGCTTTTTAAGTCAAAATGATCCTGGCTCCTAAATCTGAAAAACAAAAACAAACTATCAACTTTCACTTAACACTCTCTTTTAGTATACCTTCATACACACCACATGACATCCAAACCCCATAACTTCTAGGTCAGTGTTTTCCAGGCTCATTTCCAGCTTTATCTTTTAATATTCCTTCCAGAAACCTTTCTCATTGAGGGATTTGACCACACACTCTCTCCCACTTCTTCACCTTTGTTTCCGCTGTTCTCTCCAGGTCCCTTGCATCTCCCCTGATGGCCTCTGAATTACTATCCTTTCCGCAAGCCCAATTGTTCCCTCCTCTTCTCTGCAGCTGCTTAATGACTTTTGGTTCTTAAGGCCTCATTAACACTTTTACTTTTTTGATGTACAGAACATTCTGCTTCTTATTACTGTTATTTATGATACTATGAACTACTTGGGAAGAGAGGCTATCCCAGTCAATTTTCGATTGCTTAATAATAATAATATTTAATGAGGGTTTACCATGTGCTAGGCACTATAGCAAGTATTTTATGTGGATTATCTCATTTCATCTTCATATAATTATGTTTCTATTATCCTCATTTACAGATGAGAAAACTGAGGCTCAAAGAGCTTACGAAACTTGCCCAAGTGGACGTAATGAATATGTGGTGGAGCTCTACTCAGACCAAGGCTGAAAGAGAGCGGAGCCTGTGCTCTCATTGTCCACTCTCTGCTACTTCCCATCTCTTGTGGCGTCTCACACACAGTAGGTGTAGAAAAGAAGTTATTGACTAATTAACAACAGTGTCTCTCTTAACATGTTTGTATTTGATAAGACATTTTTATGGTTGCTGTGTGCAGTGTATGTCTTTGAAGCACAGCAGGGAAGGAATGCAAATTAAAGTTTGAGTTTTCCTTGGAAGGCCTTAGAGCAGAAAGAATCAGTACCCAGCTTTGTAAAATTTCCCCAAGGGCAAGGTATTTGAAATTTTACCATTGAAGTATCCTTTGAAAGGACTGCTGACATTATTTTTCTTTGAAAACCAAAGTTCAAAATGGAACTTTTTCTTTAAATCATGCAGAACTTATAGGAGAATTAAAATATTGGACAAACCATTTAACATCAAAGGTCTCCATTGCTATACAAGACAATGTGACCAATGTGTTAAACAGAAATATCAGATTTTCTCATAAAACTATTCCAAATAGTTTTTTAGTGGTATATGCTTTCTCCAAGCATGCTGATATTTCTCCAAAAAGTTTCATGAATGACCCTTCTGAAATTTTCTTAAGAAGCATAGTGGTTAAGAGCATGAATGTGGGGATTCTTCACTCAGGTTTGGGTCCTGGCTCAGTCTCATTCCTGCTGAGAAATCTAGACAAGTTACTTTGCCTGTTTTTACCTAGTTTCCTCATTTATCACATGAACATAGTAGTACTCCTTAGTTCGCAATTCTGTGAAGAGAAAGTGGACTCCTCCTCGTGAGGTTCAGAACAGTGCCCAGCACGCTGCAGGTACTTCTGTGTTGCCGTTGTGGTTTTGTTGCTTTTCAGTATCATTGAGAAAGAGCTAAGAGATGTTTGAAGTCAAGTATAGATTTGAAGATGGTGAGTAGATAAAGTTGGACATGTCATTTTTTTAGTAAGCTGAAAACAGTAGTAAAAGTGAGGTGTGACTATGAAGGATAAGGGTGAGTTTCTTGAATGGCTATAAAGGCAAGTTCAGAAGAATTGCTACAAAAATATGAACTGGAAAAAAAAAAACACCCTCTACCAAACCAGACAAGGATATTACAAGAAAGAAAATGAGAGGCCAATATTCCTTAGGAATATAGATCAAAACTCCTAAATGAAATACCAACAAATTAAATCTAGCAATATATAAATCCCACCATATACAAGAGGAATTTATCCCAGGTAAGCAAGGTGGGTTCAGCATATGAAAATCATTTGAGGGAAAGCACCACATTAATCAAGGATCATCTCAATAGATGCACAAAAAAGCATTTGAAAAGACCCAACATCTTTTCATAAAAACAAACCACTCAACAAACTTGGGGTAGAGGGAGTTTCTTCAACTTGAAAAGGGGCATCTACAAAAAACCCAAAGCTAACATTATACTTTTTTTTATATTAATTTTTTTTATTTTTTACATCGTTCATTTTTAAACAATATTTGCTTCCCTCCACCCCCTCAGTGGTAGTCCCCATAGAGTTTCCTTCACCAATGCACCCGTGCACCATCACCACAGTCCCCTGTGTTCCTCCCTCCCTCCCTCTGATCCCTCTCCTGCCTCCTCCTCCTCTGCAGGATGTCTCTGATTTATAATTGTCTGTTTTTGCTTTGTTGTGTTTTATACTGTTATTATTTTTTACACTGATGTCTTATTTCCTTCCCCTATATTCCTGCTATAAGTGAAACCATCCAATATTTTTATTTTTCCTCTAGCTTATATCACTGAGCATAATTCCCTCTAGTTCCATCCACATTGCTGCGAATGGCCTGTTTATATTTTTTGATTGCTGAATAATATTCCATTGTGTATATATGCCACATCTTCTTGATCCAGTCATCTATTTTTGGGCATTTGGGTTGTTTCTAGGTTTTACCTATTGTAAATAGTGCTGCTATAAACATAGGGGTACAGGTGTTCTTTTGGATCAATGTTTTTGTGTCCTTTGGATAGATCCCTAGCAGCGAAATTGCCGGGTCATATGGTAGCTCCATTTTTAGTAGACTGAGTAACCTCCAGACAGCTTTCCACAGTGGTTGGACCAGTTTGCACTCCCACCAGCAATGTAGGAGAGTTCCTTTTTTACCACATCCTCCCCAGCATTTGCTGTTGCTTGTTTTTTTGATATGTGCCATTCTTACTGGTGTGAGGCGGTATCTCTATGTGGTTTTAATTTGCATTTCTGTGATTATAAGGGATGAGCTAACATTATACTTAATGATGAAAAACTCAATTTTCACCTCCCCAAAAGCTCAGGAATCAGACAAGAATGAACACTACTGCTATTTAACATTGTGCTAAAGAATGTGCAGATCAATTTTGCAGAGAAAGAAATAAAATGAATCCAGATTAGAAAAGACGTAAAGCCATCTTTAATCACAGAGAACTTGGTCTTACACATAGAAAATCCCAAGGAATCCACACACATGTACACACACAAAAATATTAGATCTAACAAATGAGTCCCTCCAGGTGGCAGGATACAAAATCGAAATACACAAATTAACTATTTCTTTATACTCATAATGAACAATCTGACATCCATTTACAACACCATGATAAGGAGTAAGATACTTAGAAGTAAAGTTAGCACAAGAGTGGAAAACTTGTGCACTGAAAACTACAAAACATCGTTGAAAGAAAACTAAAGAAAGCCTAAATAAAATGTATTCATGAATTGGAACACAATATTGTTAGAAAGCAATATTCCCTAAATTCATCTATAGATATAACATAATCCTTTTGTGTCCTAGCCATCTTTTGACAGAAATTGATAGGTTGATCCTCAAATTCCTAAGGAAATGCATGGGACCCAGAATAGCTGAAACAATTTTGAAAACAAAAGATTTTCAGAGTTGAAAGATTCCCACTTCCTGTTTCCTAAACATACTAAAAAACTAGAGTAATAAGAGTGTGTGATACTGGTGTAAGTATAGACATTTATGCCTATAGAACAAAATTGAAAGTCCAGAAATAAAACCATATGTCGGGTCTCCCTGGTGACACAGGTGGTTGAGCACAGCACTGTGAAGCTGTCCACAGCCTCTGCAGTGAGGGCCAGCCAGGGAGATACCCACATGGCACGGCAGACTTCTCCTGTCTTGCCTGCTGCTCCCCTCAGCAGTGTATTTCAGTCAGTCTGCCTGTTCTGTTCCCCGCTCTGTCTCTGGTGAATCCTCTCACCCACCCTCCATCTCTGGCCTCTACCCCAGTTATTATACGCATAAATAAATAAATCTTAAAAAAAAATACATCTATGGTCAATTGATTTCAACAAGTATGCCAAGAAAATTCAAAGGGAAAAAGAATAATTTCTTCAATAAATGATACTGGGATAACTAAATAATCAAACACAAAGTATAAGTTGCTACTCTACCTCATACCATATATAAAAAAATTAATACAAAATGGATCAGAGATCTAAATATGGGGACCAAAACTATAAAATCTTTAGAAGAAATATAGGCACAAATCTTTGTGACCTTGGCTAAATGTTTAAATAGCTAAGAGAAAATGCTTTCTTAACCATGATGTAAAAAAAAAGCACAAGAAGAGAAAAAATAGATTAAGTGAACTTCATCAAAATTAAAAGCTTTTATGCTTCAAAGGATACTACCAAGAAAGAAAAAGTATCACCCACAAAATGGGAGAGAATATTTACAAATCATATCTACTAAGGGACTAGTTTCCAGAATACATTGAGTACTATTGTAACTCTACAGTGAAAGCAAACAATTAACTATTTTTAAAATGGCCAAAGGATTTGGATAGATATTGCTCCAAAAAAGGTGTATAAATGCCAATAAGATCATGAAAAGATTTTCAACATCATTAGTCCTTAGGGAAATGCAAATGAAAGTGACCATGAGCTATCACTTCACACCGACTCGGATGGTTAGAAGAAAAAAATTGGGGGCCTCCTCCCACAGCTGTTGTAACACCATTGAGATGCCAGACAGGTGCAGCCTTCTTGCCTTCAGTCAGAGCAGAAAAGCAAAGCTCAGAGGGGGGCATGCTGGAGGGCACAGAGGAGGGGCAGGCATCCTAGTGAGTATAACTAAGAATAATTAGTCAGTTCCTGAATGCAAGCTTTACAACCTCTCAACTTTCTTATCCAGAATTGAGAAAGCAGTTTCATGAAAAGGGATTGTAAAAATTGTAGTAGTAAAATATGCACAACATAAAATCCCCCATTTTAACTTGATAAGTATATAATGTATTAAGTGTATGATACAATGGCATTAAGTACATTCACACTGTTGTCCAACCATCACCTCTATCTACTCCAGAGCCTTTTCATCTTTCCAAATGGAAACTCTGTACCATTAAACATTAAGAGCGATTTTAAAAGAAACAACAACAGAAATGGTGGGTGATAGTAAGTGCTGAAAAGAACACAGAGAAACTCACACATTGCTGGTGGTGTCACTTGGGAAGCTGTCTGTTAGTTCCTCAAAGTGTAAAATGCAAAGGTAATACATGACCCAGTCAGTATTTCCATTCCTAGATTTTCACCCAAGATAACAGAAAATATGTATCCACACAAAAATGTGCACATGAATGTTTGTAGAAGTCAAAAGTGGACACAAGAAAAAGTGTCTTGACCCCTAAGTGTCTATAAACTGATGAGTAGATAAATGAAATGCAGTATATACACACACACGATGATATTTAAGTGAAGTGATGGATGTATTAGTCATTTCAATTGTGATATATATCACAATATTCATATATGAAATCATTATGGTGCACACATAAATATATAAAACTGTTACATAACAATTATACCTAAGTATAGCTGGGAAAAAGGAAATTAAAGAAAAAGGAAGTGTATTCTATCCATACAATGGACTATTACACAGCCATAAAAAGAATGAAGTGCTGATATATGCTACAAGGATAAGCCTTGAAATCATTTTGCTAGTGAAAGAAGACACAAAAGGCCACTTACTGTATGATTTCATTTATGTAAAATGTCCAGAATAGACAAATATATGTAGAAAGAAAGTGGGTTAGTGATTGCCCAGCTCTTGTGGGGGGTGGGAGAGAGGAATGTGTAATGATGTGGGTATAGGTTTCTTTTGAATATTGATAATGTTCTAAATTAGCTAGTGGTGATGGTGATAGTTGCACAGCTTGGCCAATATGCTAAAATCCTCTGAATTGTATACTTTAAAAGAATAAATTGTATGGTATGTGAATTATATACCTTAATTTTTTTAAAAAAGAAGAAAATATCCTTAGAAACACCACAAATAATGATAACCAGAAGCTCTGTGAAGGAAGGGCAAAACTCCTTTTGGATATGAGAGCTCATGGATTTTAAAAAACACAAATATCACTTCTAATATGAGAAAAATGCTCATGCTCAGCTTCCTACTATGTTGATCTAGTAACTCAGTGTTTTATTGATTAAACAAATATATATTTGATATATTGGTCTTTCTTGTGGGCATTGCATCATTACGGATGTAAATTACATTTTTAACACTCGTTGTTGGTTTTCTTGATTATTCTTTTGGTATGTTAACGTCCTTAATGTAGAATAAAAGTCCTTATACATTTTGTTCTTTATCTGTATGTTTTCGTTCCAGTGCCTGAACTTATTTTTAACCTCTTGAGGAGCGCTGCGAAGACCTCTGGCTCCATGCTGCTGAGAAACTGGTCAGTGGAGGAGGCCAGGGCGTCTGAGAGAAGGAACGTGAAGCATATACATGCTGAAAACGAGCCCTCAGACTGCATTCACCAGTGCATATTGGTCTACAGATTAGTTATAAATTTATTCTGATTTTAGATGTACTAGAAAAGCTAGTCACTTAAAGAAGTTGCATGAGAAATCCTTTTGTAAAGTAATGGTTTGCCAATAGCTTTTGCCTTTGAAAAACAAAATCTAGCACCATCATATACTCTTTGACAAACTGTGTGTGTATTAAGTTTTCCTAAAGAAGGGCTCATCTCTGTTCTGAAAGAATGAGAAACTTCAGTACTAAGACTTAAAGTCTTCAACTTTTATGCCTTAATTTGCCTTCTGATGAGAATTGTATCTGTATTTGCTCAATTGTATAAACTATCTTTTTTTTTGGTTTTGAAAAAATGGCAATTGTGTAATCTTGGGATGTGTAAAACTTGGGCCACATTCCTTGAAGGTTGCTGCACTGTCCCTCTCTCCTGCTGGAAAGCTGGCTGCCATGTGAAGCTGAAACGGGAGCTTGGGGGCTCCACTCTGGCCCAGAGAAGACAGAGTGTGTGTCTTTGACATGGGGCAGCACCAGGAGCAGACTTGTCTTGCTTCCCAGGTAAGGCTGCTCCAGCTCCTCCACCTGATGGCCTATAGGGTCCTGGAACTGACTTGGGGGTTCAGTAAATGGGGAGTCAGCTCTGTATAGCAGCCAAGGGAACATAACAATCCTGGACCCTGGAAAGCTCAGCTCACAGACCAAGAAACAACAAGTGTGATTAACAGACGGTCCACTTCACCCTCAGGAAGCAGTCTAAGGTCAAAGACTGTTGAGACACAGTCTCTGGTCACCCCTTCTGATCCTAAGACCTAGAATCCCTGTACAGGACCTGCAGTAGCTGGCCTGGGAACACGTGGGAGAAGCCATATACCCGGTCGGAAAGGGGCAACTCCCTGGCATTGTGCACTCCACCTTCACCGGGATGAATGACTATCATCAGGGTGGGCAGGCAGAAGAAAGGCACTTCAGGACCAGTGAGACTGAGTGTGGACAAGCTCCCGGGAGACTTTTCAATGGACGCTCAATCTTCTATCCTTTCTCAGCACCAAACAGTGAAGTGGTTTTTATTAGGGGTGCTTGCCAAGGAAGATGGGGGTTCAAATGTTTTTGGTTTCACACAACCTCCTCTCTTTCCTAAATGCAGAGGGAAACAGCAAGCACGAAAGCACGAAATTGGGTTCCTGTTCCCCATCTGCTTCCTCAATGTCCTAAGAGCCTCCTGACTCCCTGGTCTTTCTCTATTCCACACAGCAGAGGGAACCAAGGAGACGTGGCCAGATCCTTTAAGGGATGGGACGAAGGAGCTCACTGTAGTTGACATCAGTCATCTGACACATCACACATCCTCGTCCTGGAGGACGAGGCCTTGGGTACAGGTGAAAGGCAGCAACTGGGTGTCTGTGGAGAATCTGCCACCAGGAACTTTGGAAGGATGTGGTGCTCACAAATGCCAACTGTGCAGATGCTGTGCCACCTTGGGGCGCCCATGTGGAGCCTCCCGAGACCTCACCTGCAAGCAAGGAGAGCTGGCACCTGAGCATATGCTCTGAGGGTGCAGAGAAGCCCTGAGCTTGGGTGTGTATGAGTAGTTAGTATGTATGAATTGTAACTAATGGGTGCTGAAGACCTTGCTTGTACATTCTGAACATTTTGGGCTGCCCTGCTCGTTCCCAGGAAGCATGAGGTGTGCACTGCTCAGACAGACCCCTGGGAGGGAGCAGGGCTGTGTATCAACTCTCCCATGTTGATACCCGACCACCCCCAAGGCCCCAGCTGCTTGGCCTCATCCCTGACAGAGCCTTTGCTTAGACAACAACTTAGCAACTTTCCTGACAGCCTTTAAATTCCATGCATTACCAGAGAGAGGAGCAGGCTGACCACCCCTTAGGGGATGGTGTTTGCCCAATCCTTTATTTAATAAACACACACTTGTGCTAGACTCTGCTTAAAGGCTTTAACACACCGTCACTAACTCCTCTCCAAAATTCTATTGTTATTCGCAGTCTTATAAATGCCAAGGCTTGGAGGGGTCGTGCAAGGTCACATGCTTGTGAGTGGCAAAACCACACCACCCACACAGTTGCTCAAGATAGAAACCTTGGATTTGAACCCAAGCCGCCTGGCCCAGCACCAGGCTCTTCGTGGCGCTTCACTGCTCCTCTTTCTTAGAGGATGATCCACCCTGCGGGTTGAGAGCAGTAACTGTGGTCTTGGGTCCCCTGCAGCACAATGAGACAGGGAATTAAGCATTTTAAATTAATTTGAAAAGATAATGTGAAACATTGGAGAGAATTAAAAGAGAGCTGGAAACCTCCATATCAATAGAGATCTTAATGTTTGCATTTTAACCCTATAGTCCTGTCCACACACATATTGTTCTCAGTTCAGTCATAAAGTGCAATCACTTGCTATTTTGCTTCTTAACACTGGTTTTAGAATATTCTCCCTGTTGTCTGTCTGAGCTTTGTAATTATCAAGGATGCTGGAGCCAGGCCGCCGGGGTTATCATCCTGACTCTGTGGACCCTGGGTGAGAGGCTTCACTCCTGTACCTCAGTTTCTCCATTTGTGAAATGGGACCTAGCACCTACATCTTAGGATGACTGTGGGGTGAACTGAGCTAAAAATATTGAGCAAGGAGATGAATGCTAGATAAAGCACTCAGTAAATATCAACAATCTTTCTTAGCTTTAATCATAATGATAACTGCATAATATGACTCATTCCTCATTGCTGGACAGGCAGGTTGTTTGTAAATCTTTTTCTTTGCTAACACCAGGAAAAACACCTTATTACATATAACTTCATCTCTTAAAATATTTCCTTAAACTAAATTCCTAAGAAATCACTTTTGGGGTACCTATTGCATTTTTCTGTCACAGGAAGGGTGGGTTTGAGAGGAAGAGGGATTAATTGTAGTGCAAGTTGAGTTCTGGGGGAACTTGACCTGGGAGGACAGTTGCTGGGGACAAAGCCCACAGGGCTCTGCTGGTTGCTGGCGTCTCTAAAGATGCCTTTTTTGCCTGTGTATGTGTGGGAAGTGGGACAGCAGTGTCGGTGGAGGTGGGGGAGGCTGAAAAGAAGGCCAAAGGTCAGATTTGCTTGCCATAGAGCATGTCACTCAAGGGCAGGGCCTTCCAGGACCACAAACTTATGCAGCAATTGGGGTGGACTCAGTGCGAATCTACAGGGCTTCGGGCAAGTAATGGCTGGGATTTGTCTTCACAGCCCTCGGACACTATCCTCATCGAGGTGGATGGGTCTCTTACCTGTGGTCTTTTGGAGGCCCGCTCACTGACCTGGACGATGGTGCCATTGGGCTCACTGAGGTTGGCTGGCTGCAGGCTGTTATTGGCCCACGAAGAGATCTGCCTGACAAAGCAGGGGGAGCGCGGTGCTCCTTCTTGCACAAAAAAGGTGCAGGGAATCTCCATCTTGGTGCCTTGGCTGGAGTTGGGTAGCATGGCATAAACAATGTGCAAGAAATCTTTCACTCCTTGGTTTATGAAAAAGGTACTGGAATAAACTGACAATGAGTGTGAGTGAAGAGTCATTGCATTGAAAATAGGGCCCCAACATCTTCACTCTTATTTCATAAGGCTCATCTACCATATATATATAATCAATCTGAAAAAGTCATAGATAGCTAAGCCACCCAGGAATTCATCTAGAAACACAGATTGAAAGTTGCTGATTAAACCATGTTGGATCATAAAGAAATTAAACTGTTTGGGTAAGTCAAACAGAAAGCTATTACCCGCATCCCAGAGGGTGTCCTGCCTGAAATGCTTGATTTAGTAATGCTGACCAGGGCTACAGCAGGTCTGGTGGGCAGGCTATGGGGCTTCAAATATTTACGAAGCTAACTGATTTATGGGGAACGTCACAAGTAACAATGACAGAGTGTGGCCAGGATGTTAAACTGTTGATAAATCTTGCACAGAGCCTTAAATCCATTCTGTGACCACATGACACAAGCCCAAGCGACAGACATTTGGTTGCAGACTTTTTAATAAACTATGCTTTCAATTGGAGAAACACAGAGGGAGGTAAGAACACCTCCCATCCCCCACCCCCTAAGACCCAGCAGAAAGCTCAGTGTTATTCATGTCAGTGAGAACCAGCATGAAGGCTGAGGAGATAAAAAGCATTTGAGGGAGTCAAGAGTTGCCACCTTCTTGGATGGCAACAGGATTTCTCTTTACTATGTCATAGCATTATAGGGCAGCCCCGATATTGAACGGGTTGCCTGGCTGTGGGTCCTCACCGCGCGCTTACAAGGGACTTATGAATACTCCACTACAGGCACACACAAAAGGTTAATAAAAGGTTTATTTACAAGGGAAAAGGAAATAAGGAAAATGTACAACTCAGGGAGAAAATAGGGAAATAAAGTCTTTAATGCGTCCTACCCGATCCAACGACCTGGAAACCCAAAGTCACTCTCAGAGCTGGCCGGACGCTGCGAGCTGGCGGAGAGCCAAAATGGGGGACCCCTCCAAAGCCCACGTGTCTGCCTTTATACCAACCTGGCTGCTTAACCCCACCCTCAGGTCCCAGCCACCTTCCCTTTGGTGGTGATGGGATTTGGAGTTCCCAGTGTCTTTGGCTTTGGCCTGGGGTGGGGATGGAGTCCACAAAGCCTGTATGGAATTAGCTTTAGGACATCCTTTTCCCCCTAACAATTGGAGTTTGCTTTCTTCTCACAGTCAGAGGATTTCTGTTTCATGCCATTTTTCATTACTGCAGCTTCTATTCTCTCCTAGATATCCATAACTGAAAGGAGGTCTCTGGCCCAATGGGGAGACAGGGCATAACTGAACACCCCAAATTTTTGCTCCTGGCATGAGCTGGCTGGGCCTGTCCAGCAGTCAGTTACCCTTCCCATGCAGGCTGCCTGAGAACATGGCTTTCCTTTGTCCTCCCCCCCCTCCTTCCTGTTAACCCACCTGTGACATCTCCCCGAAAGGTGCATGCTTTGCACCCTCTTCCTGCCCCATCCTGCCTGGCTGGCTTCCTCAGGACACCTACTGGCATGCATCCCTGACTTGCTTGGAGTCAGTCCTTTCCACATCACATCCTTCATGTCACAGAGGCCAGGCCAAGAGTCAGCTGCAGACCTCCGACTTGCCTGACCAAAGTCCTCTGGAGGGACATGGGCACCCAGAATACACCCTGGGTAGGGCCCCCAGCCAGCAGGCTGAGATCTCAGTTGTGGGCAGATTTTACTTGCCCACAAAACTATCACTACCAAAGCTGCTTCTTAGAATCTTCAGCTATAAAAAAATGAAGGCAAGACATGTGTGTCATGAATTACAGCCTAGCTGTGGGCTTGCCATTTATTTTAATGAGAAAAGAAATAAGTAAAAAAAAAAAATACTTCTAATTAGATTTTCCTCTCCTGAGGAAGGTCATATGTATTTATAGACTCAGGTCCCTGAAAATGTTGACTTGTCTGCAGGAACGAAGCAAGACATTTCAGGGTGTTGTACGACCTTAGCGAGTACTGCTGAGCTCTGGTCTCTCACTTGACTTGGGCCAGTACCAGCAGGCTTTTAGCCAGACACTTTAAGGTAGGAGAGTAAATGGGCTCAAGAAATCTTTTCTCCACCTAGTTTATCCTTGCCTACTTGCAGGACCAGCTTTTGTGGGCACTATCAGAATATACGTCGCCAGAATAGCAGAGCCTGAAGGCTGACTGTGCACATATCTCTGTGCTCAATGCTCTACATTCATGGTCACAGTTCATCCTCTCGACAACGTTGGGAATTAAATGCTATTAGGATCCCCATTTATAGACGAGGGAACTGGGTTTCAGACAAATTAATAAACTTGTTGAATGTAACCGCTTTCAGGAGATGGTGCTTCACGGCCCTCCCTTCTTCCCCCAGGTGAAGGACAGGTGGGCTGGGGTCTCTCTGCCAGGATAACCTGGTTCCTCTCTCAAAATGGGGATGAACTCAGGGCCACAGAACACAAAGCCTCCTATTATGCCTCACCGTGTGTGTCTCCAGGGTCTGTGTGCATGATGGGGCAAAAGTGACTGATAGGAGAGATGACAAGTGTCTCCCCCACAGTTCTTGACAGAGACTCCTGTCACTGCTGGTTTAATTCCTCTTGGCCTCTCCAAATGAAATAGCAAGACATGGCTCTTGGGGAGGGGGATTTGGTGACTCTAGTAAAATGCTGAGTCAGAGGAGGCAGAAGGAAGGAAAACTTAAGGGCTGCCATAGATCAGGAATAAAGGAGGGAGGCGTGGAGGGTTTGAGGAGAGTGTCCCTGGGTGCAGAGTAGGAGGAAAGTACTAGAGGAAGAAATGATATTCTCATGAATCTTGCTGTAGATCCATCCTTTAACTCATTTAAGAAACCAGTGTGGTTATTACTTTCCTTTATAATATATTTGCTCCCTTATGATGAATGTGATGCTAAATCTAGTCGGTCCTGATTTGGTAAGGTTAATGTATATAAAATTTCAAATTATAAGAGCCATCTTCACGATGCTTCTTAGTTGACTGAGAATTAAAAGAGGGTTAGGTTTAGCCTGTTGTCCAAAAGTTTGGTTGAGCTAAGAGAGTAATGAGGATGCCTCTGGTAAATACTACAGAAAGCAAGGTATTAGATATTTCTGCAGCTGAAGGCTGAGAGTGGGGTTAGGAATTGTGGAAAGAATATAAGGTGTGGAGGCAGAGCGTTTGGAACTTGCCTGTTGGGTGAACTGAGTCTTGCCATATCATTAATCTCCCATTTGTAAAGTGGGGATTATTAACAGAGGCCTAACAATTGTTTGTGGTTTCTGTAAGATCAAATGACCTACCTGTGAAAGTAAAATCCATGGGTGTCGTCAGAGTCATTTCCCAGGGGCGAGGCTACCTCCATCTCTGAGGCTCCTAGTAGCATATTTGTACTTAATGGATATCTGTAAAGTGTTCTTTATTAATTTGCCTGAAACAGCAATGGAAATCCCTTGGTTGGAACTTGGGACATTGGGAAATTGTAAGTTTGATGTGGTGAAAATGAAGGTACTCTTTGGGGATATCCTGGTCTCTGTTCTGAATCTCATGGTGCACTTATTTGACCACAGGTGGGGATTCTGGCAGCAATTCTGGGTGTCATGTATGGGCTGGACATGCAGTGAGAAGACAATGCTGATGTGCCCACTACAACCTAGGCAGATCTTTCTGTTGATTAAATGGGAACTATGTCCAAGATCCTGGAATGTACTTTGATGCTGTTTCTGTTTGAACAATGCCTTATAGGTCCTTATTTCTTTGAAAGTAATAACAGTAGTGAAAGACTAGGCCAGAGCCTGTGGTGGGCACTGCAGATTGTTTTAAACAGCACACACATGATTCTGAGTTACATTGGGGCAAACCAAAGTATGGGTGTAGTCTATTAAGTAGAACTCTGTAAGCAGCAGACTCCTATTCATAATAATTACCCATGGCTCTATAAGATAATGAAGCAGTTTATGAGTAAGAAAAGGAAGGTGGGGGCCTCCCTGGTGGCACAAGGATTAAGACGCCACCTATGAAGCTATTTGCAGCCACTGCAGCACGAGTTCGATTTCCGGCCAGCCAGGGAGCTACCCACATGGCGCAGCAGACCTCTCCTGTCTCACCCGCTGCTCCCCTCAGCAGTGTATTTCAGTCATCTGCCTGTTCTGTTCCCCGCTCTGTCTCTGGTGAATCCTCTCACCCTCCGCACCTCTGGCCTGTACCCCAGCACTTGTATGAATAAATAAATAAATCTTTAAAAAAAAAAAAAGAAAAAGAAAAAGAAGGTGGGATTCCATTTCAGAGTTTGGCTACTGAACGTTCTTGACATTTAATAGCTCTTGAATGGGTTCTATGAAAACCTGTTAATCATCATATTTGGTTAACAGACATCATGATTATCCCTGGCAATGGAGAATGGATTGTAATTAGTTTCCTTTCTCTGCCATATATCTACACTTGCATTTTCTTACTTTTGCCCCAATCCTAACTTCTATGAGAATCAGTTTTAAGGCTGAAAGTCTTAGCCCTCTCTCACATTTCTACTTATTCTTCATAACCCACGTCAGATGTCATGTCTTCTGGGCCATATTCCTGATCTGCTAGTGGAATCACTCATTCCTTCCCTTGTACTAACTTATTTCAGATAAACATACTCACTGTGCTGTGTTAGAGTGTGTTTCCATGTGCATCATTCCCAGGGGACAAGCTGCTGGACTTCAGAGTTTTCCTTCTGTATCTGGATGCTGAGTTCTGGAGGCATGGCCCTGGCCCCGCAGCAGGAGTGTAAGAGGACTTGATGGGTTGCATTGGGTGGAATTTAATGTGGCTGGAGAAAAACTCCATGGACCACATGTATTTCTATGATAATTTTTCTGAGAAAAATCAAACTCAGCCACTAATATTTGTCTCCAGTTGTCCCCAGAGAGAAAACATAATTTCTCTCTATTGGCCTGCAGGATCAGGAGAATTGTGACAGGGAACAGCATGTGGGTGTGTGGGGACAGGAGGCACAACTGGTGCTTTATGGCCAGACATCTTGAATGCAAGGCCAGGTCC